AAAGTGTGAAACATTCATGCAATCAGTTTTCTTTTTCCACATGACCAGATGTGTATACACAATGTCTTGAAAAGATCTAATTAACAATAAAAGACACACACACACCAAATATATATATATATATATATATATATATATATATATATATATATATATATATATATATACACACACATACACACACACATACACACACATACATATATATATATATATGTGTATGTATGCATACACATACACACACACCTCACTCACTGTCCACTTTATTAGGAACACCTGTACAGTTTTCTAATCAGCCCATCATGTGGCAGCAATATAACAAATTCGTGCAGATATAGGTCAAGAGCTTTAGTTCATGTCCACACCAAACATCACACTGAAGAAAGTGTGATCTCTGTGACACTGATGTGGGTTGGTTTGAACATTTCATAAACTGCTGATCTCCTGAGAATTTCACACAACACTCTCTAGAGTTTACAGAGAACGGTGAGAAAAACAAAAAACATCCTGTGATCAGAGGCTTTGCAGGCTGAAACACCTTGTTGATGAGAGATCAGAGGAGAATGACCAGACTGGTTTGAGCTGACAGGAAGTCTGTAGTAACTCAAATAACCACTCTTTACAACCGTGGTGAGCAGAAAAGCAACTCAGAACGCATACCACACCAAACCTTGAGGTGGATGAGCTACAACAGCAGAATACCACATCAGGTTCCACTCCTGTCAGCCAAAAATATTAATCTGAGGCTATTATGGGCACAGACTCACCGAAACTGGACAGTTGAAGACTGGCAAAAGACCACGTGATTTTTTTTCCCTCTAATCTTCAACTGTCCAGTGTCGGTGAGCCTTGACAGCTCCTGACCTGTATCTGCATGATTTTTGCATTGCACTGCTGCCACATGATTGGATGATTAAATAACTGCATGAATGTGCAGGCATACAGGTGTTCCTAATAAAGTGGACAGTGAATGTGTACACACACACGTAAGCATATTTACCACATCAATACGGCTCATGCAGTTGTGTACGACTAGTGAAACTGTTGATCTAAACCCAGTTTCCAAACACAGAAGCACATGCTGTATTTTAATTGCACACCAAGTATAAGGTCATTAACCAGCTTCTTTGAAACTGTGGCCTATTTTTAACAGACAAAAATAAAAGGAGGAAGTTTAAGCCAGATTCAAATCAGAGTACACAGTCTCAGAGTGGTATCCAGATTCATAAATCGAAATAGAAAGCAGCTATTCAATGTATAATGTCAGCTAGAATTGACAGGGAGATTATATTGAGGTCGATAAAATAACATGACTTTTGGGCAATCTGGTTTAATCTCTAATTTTTTCTCCTGGTGTGCAAGGATCTCCATGGCAGAGGTAGCAGCTCCTATGTTATGGAGAATATCCAGTCAAGGGTCAATCTCATCTGTATACACACAAATGGAAAAGCTTGACCAATCCCAGCAGCCCACCACAAAGCCAGCCCTCTCACTGTCTCAAACCAGACCTGAAGGGCTCAGGATACTGGTGATCCAAACAGCTATGCTGTTTCAACCATGACTTTGGAGTTAGTAAGAGGTTAGTAGGGCCATGTTGCTTATGAACATGTTTGGAGGCAAAAAAGCCAAAAAAAGGAACAAAATAAATTGCTGATTTCCAGAATGAATAAAAAAATGGTGGCTAGAAAAAAAATAAAGTTCTGGGAGACTTACGGATTTTTTGTTTTCCTTTTTTTCTTTAACAGTGGCTTTATTCAGTAGGGAGTGGCAAGTAGCCTACAGGGCAGAGATGGGCACAGAAGTCACAGCAGCGGCTACACAACATTGAGCACAGCGCACACAGCCATAATGCAAACACATACAGGAGAGATCTCCATCTGAGCTTTATGGTTTGGAAATCTGAAGCACAAAGTGAGTTGCAAGGATGCTAAGTTTTACTGGAGGTTTAATGTAAGGTTTCATTGACTACTTACCATCTACTCAGGCCTAGTTCCTAAGCTATGTTGTAAAAATTCTTTACTATAGTACAACTCTACTAAAAACAAAGCTAGAGATTTAAAACATAAACACAAGTTACATAATCTTTAAATACTAAATTAGGAGATAGCACAAGGTATAGAATTGAGCTTTGCCTGAGAATGCAAGCTTAAGAAAAATGGATGTGTTGGTGAATGCAAAGCTCAGAGTGTCAGACGGGTGGATGAGTGACTAATGGATGAGAGGAATATGCACAGTGTAAACAGAAAGGAAACAGGCAGTACGTGTTGGGGCTTTAGCCAGTCCTTCCTGTTCACAACATCTGCTTTCAGGCTTTTCACACACTGCACACTCTGTGCAGCACTACAGCTGCTGCCAGCTTACTTCCCCTGCAGTCTCAACCAAACCAAACCAAACCAAATGACTCTAAATATAAACAGACCGGGGTTGAATAGTCACACGTTTCTGTGGAAGAGGTGCCCATTAATATAACTTGTTGCGAAGTAACAGAGCAGGTCACTAACCACAAAGAAATTTAGCATGTAAACTGATCAAGTGCTTTAACAGAACTGACATACTGATCAGTACTGCCAAATCTCTATTTTAGGTATAGAAGGCCCATTTTACCATAGTACAAATAGATGGAGGTGGTTTACAGTTTACACTAATAGGCTTTGAATATTATCAATTTAGCATTATATCATGTTATGTATCATGTTATTACACATTTCACTGAAGAACATCAAGTAATATATGAATTTTATTTTGTATGCAAGGTTTCAGCATTGACTGCACTTTTTTTTTTTAATATCGAACTGTCACAAACACGATTTTCATGCATACATGAATGAATGGGCATTTCTATTCAACCAACTTAATAAAGTCAGCAATAAATCAGGACGACCTGGTGTGTATGCGCAAACATTCAAAGCAACATCTACCAGATGGAGCAGCCCATGCCTGTCCAACAAAATGTGATGCTAACACAAAAAAGCTATACAAGACGTTAAACAATGCTGCATATGCATAAAATGGAGGCAGGAAGTCTGAGTGAGTGCTTCAGTTAGTGCAGATTTTTAAGTGCATGAAGTGCCAGGCAGCATGGGTGAGGACAGAGCAGGGCATACCTGGTACAAACAGTGGCATACGCTTCGCAGCTGAGGAGGAAACTCGCTGGAGGAGTTAATGATGGCCAGAAAGAAACGGTCTGTGATCTGCAGCAGGTTCCGCTGGTTCTCCTCCAGGTTTTCAGTAGGTTCCAATCTACAAAAGTGGAATGACATGATTTTAATAAATGACTATAAAATGCATGAAAAATGTGAAAGCATGTCAGCTTGCTGTGAGAATTTCAGATGAGCAACACTGATGAATTACAAACTGTTAAACAAATCTATTGTTTGTTAAAGAATAACAACAGCATTTTAGCTATGTAAATACTAGTGCAGCTCTACCTGGTGGGGTCAACCTCAAAGCTGATGTGCTGCCACTCAGGAGATGTGATGACGCCTCGCATCAGAGGCTCAAGAAGCTTCTGAAGATAAGCAGCTCCATACACCTGCATAAGTAAAGACAGGTAAGTGCTATAGTTAAGCATATCCTTCATGTGGAGTTGAGTAGGTGTATTAACTCCTAATACTGAAATTGAACTCATCAGTAATCATGTGTTAGAATTATCTACAGATTTATGTGCAACTTAGAGAGATCCATGTGTCAAAACAAAAGCATGTCTCAGTTATTTACTATTAAGACTTTTGTTTAACCATATTTCACTTTGAAATTCATATTTTGCGTGCTGCAATATTAAAAAACAAATATAACATTATGACATAATGGCATCAATCTTCTGTCTTTCTAGTACTACGTCCATCTGCATTTTTCATCTTTCCAAAGCGTCACGCTTTCCGCCACTGTCGGTACAATTTATAACACATTTATTCATTTGGTAGATACTGTTATTTAAAGCGACTTAAAACTCAATTTAAGGGCCTTGTTCAGTGAAGCTGGCTGCTGGAATTTGAACTCTTAATCTATTTAAGGACGTACTAATTCTTACTAAATGCACTTGTGTGGACAAGCTGGTGACTCAGCTGAAATGAATGAATCTGGAACTGAGACTCCTCAGTACAGAAGCTCATGTCCTTCAACAGAGCCCTTCTTATAGCTCAATGAACAGCATTCCTTGGATGGAGGATGCTATATGTATAGCGGAGTCTGGGAGGTTGAAAATGAGCTGAGAGTTGAACCCTAACAGTGTGTTCAACTCCAGCTTCCACGGCACTCAAAATCAAGTCCGGATCAGCTCGTGAGCTAGCATGTGCCGCAAACAGGTTCAAAACTAGCTGCATGGAATGCACACTGCTGGTAATGACAGAATTCACTATGCCGTGGTGCAAGGATTTTAACTGAAGTTAGTGTCAAAGAACAACAAATAACTGCAGGAGCTGGTAGGAATGTGATTTAAAAAAAAAAAAAAAAAAAAAAAAAAAATCCTGTGCACACATCTACCACATTTACACATAGCCATAAAAGTGATATGAAACTGATAAATGTTCCTTCAAAGCAAAACAAAAAATAAAAAGACTTAGTCTTATACAATGTGCATTTGAGTGTAGAACTGGCTTCACCTAGTCTAAAATATTTTCACAGTAATAAAAGTACATTTAGCCTGCTTTCCTCCTCCTTCCTCACTACTGTTTATTCCATAGTACTAGTTGTATTAATTCTCAATATACTTGGCTACTATTAGATGTTTATTTGAATCTTTGCTTCCTTCTCATTTGAATATTACCATTTTAAAGTTTATTTCTTTAACTTTCTTACTCCTACTGCACATATTGTACAACTAACAATCTATTTTACCCATGAACTGCAATCTGATTCATCTCTTGCCAGATTGTTAGCGTTTAAGTCCTTGTTTTAAAGGGGGGTGGTGGAGATGCAATTGAAACGGACTCAAAAAAGGCAGCTTTGGAGGTGTAAAGCACATGTAGGTAATATCAGTGATCTAAATGGGCCCAGAATTAGAAGTGGTAGCTCAGTGGTTAAGACGTTGGACTTCTGCTCCGAAGGTTGAGAGTTCAAATCCCAGCACCACCAAGCTGCCACTGCTTGGCCCTTGAGCAAGGCCCTTAACCCTCAGCTGCTCAGTTGTATAAATGAGATAATTGTAAGTCGCTCTGGATAAGGGCGTCTGCCGAATGCCATAAATGTAAATGAGTCTGAATTCCTGTGGCAGAATTCCAATGTTTCTTAGGAAAAATAATTGTGATCATTGAAAGAATAATAGAAGGACTGTCAAAAATCTATTGTAGTTCTTGCTATCTAAGTGTGCTTTGTAGGACATTGCTTTGTAGGTCGATTTATTAGCGTCAATTTACCTTGAAGCAGAAGGTCATGATCTTGCTAGCCAAACTGTTGCCTCTAAAGAGGGTCTGCATGGAGTCAGCCAGCTCCACCTCTTTAGAGAACATATTCCAGAGCAGCTGGTAGAGCAGGTGCCTGGAGTCGAACAGCGTCACCAACACCCTGGCCAGCTCATCCTGCAGAGGACACCAGCAAACTCTCAATATCAATTTCAACCTTGGTAATCCAGTGACCCTCAGTACTATAGAGTGGTTACATACCCACTGGGAGCAGGGCACCACATTGGCCAGTGCCATGGCAATGGGAAGCTCCCCCTGATCCCCCATCATGGTGACGAGCTCCACCAGCCTCTCAAAGCGGTCAGCCAGAACAGTCTCGGCCAGAGTGTCAAACTCCGTGCCTTGCTGCAGGATCTTAGTCAACACCTCCATGAATGTAGCCCTGGTCTGTAGGTCTTTATGGTAGCCCAGTCCTGCAGACAGACAGAACTGAGTCTCTGCTGCATCACTAGAGTTCACTAGAAATACTGCTAAGAAAACTACTGCCCATTTCACAGACTGAATAGAGAAACAAGAAAATAATGTAGAAAATAGCTACAAAAAAGTAAAAAACGAAATCATAAATAAAGTTAAAATAAGAAAAGAGAACAAAATGGGTCAACACAACATTATTAGATCACATCTAACCTCCCCACTGCAGATCACTCCAACAGTAAAACACAACATCGGGGATCTTTTCACAATGCTAAATTATCAAAGAGGAGAACACAGTGCCACGCCCAGGTTAATGGTATATTTTGCAATCTCATTACATCATTACATCTGGTTGCTAGTCTCTGCCAACTGGCAGTTTAATCAGGACAGGAAGTACTTGTGAGAATGTTGCAATTGCTGCCTTATAACTGTTTTCAAACAGTATAAAGATAGAGAGCACATTTAACCTCCAATCTCAGCTATTTCCTTTTTCTCAGCAAATGAAGGCAACAGTCAACTGTGCCATGAGCTACAAGGCATACTTCACTTCTTGGGTCTCGCCACAAAGGTGTTCTACTTGTTTATGTGTCACATAAGCAGTTTTATCCACTTACTAGTGGCCAAGAGTATAAATAAAATGAGGAAGATGGCAGACAAGTGGTTAGCAAATAAGAATGTCTACTTATATCTAGACGATAAGACCATGTGCCAGGGTATTATTATGTCATATTTAGTTATCATGTACGGCCTAGCCAAATATTGTTGTAGACTTTGAAATTTCATTAGGAATCAAGCCTAGTACCTAACTATTACTAGAATCTTAGCAAGATATATGGTGTTGAAGGTCCTACAGACTCAAGCCAAAGGTTTCATCTACAGCTGACTCTAATTTAATTACTGCAGCTCTGCACATATCTTGCTGGCTTTAAAATCCTGTCATATTAGCTGATGTTAGCTAACCAACTATCTTAGCAGAAGTGTGTAAGTATATATGCACTCCAACTTTAGTGTGTCGCAGTTTACTCAGACAGCATGATTTACTTTTTTGCATAATAAACTAGGAATTTTCAGCATCAGAAAAAAAATGTCCTGGCATCCAACGTTTAATGTGCATTGCTGATAAAAGCAATTCACTTGAGATTCCCGACAGCAAGCCTAACCAATACTTTTGATGTGAAAGTCATAGTGTTTGTGTCAGTACTGACCTATAGAGTGCATGAGGCCGCTGTCCACGTTGGCATTGAGCAGGTTGGACATGGCAAGTACAGTGCAGTGGCGTAGTGAGGCGAGACGTCGGGACATGCCCCGCTTTCTTTCGCCCACCTGCTGCCCATCTTCCTCCACCTCACTGCAGTCATTCAGAAGGTTCATGAACAGAGTGAAGTACCTGAAGAGCAAAGAGTTAAGATGATGGTAAGGACTATGGATAATCATCCAGCTGTAAAAAAAAAAAAAAAAAATTGATAATATTTCTATTTCTTTATATGCAAGCTTGCACCACAAATCTAAAACAATATGGTGAATACAGATTAACAATACAATAGAGGAGTTTATTAGCAGCTGTAGCAGCTTGAAATCATAGTTCACACTGTGACCTTACACACACTAATGAGACTGAATAAAGGGGTATTGCGTGGAAACAATGTTCCTACTTAAGAAAAAGCTGAGACTTGGCCTCCATCAGCTCCACTCCATCTCCTTCCTCAGGCTGTAGCGGTAAACCAGCCAGCAGAGACACCACTGCCTCCATACTGGCCTGGTCAAGGTCCCTATGCAACAAAAAACACCAAAGAAACTGTGTGTAACGACTAAGGTGAAAAGTTAAATTATAAAGAAAAGGCCTAAAATTCAGAAACTGTACCGTGTGAGATATTTGACATCATCATCTGCTGCTTGATTGGAGGTGCCCATCACCCAGTCAGTCAAGTACTCTACCATCTTATTCCTGAGAGTGAAATATATTTTACAATTTATAATCACATTATGAAACATCAATGACCCCTTACTTACCCTCATCCACTATTAAGAGGACCATAAATGACACATTAAAAAGCTTTAAACTGAATAGAGTACTAGGTATATTTAACAGGATACTCACCTGAATTTCATTTCTTGGCAGAAGGAGAGATCATCTCTGCGTTCCATCATAACCTCCACAAGTTGACAAAGTTTTGTCTTAATCTGTATTGCATGAACCCCATTCCCTAAAATGCGCACATATCTATGGGGACAGTGAGAAAATGCACCAGGACATTACATTAAACAAAGCTAAAACAAGCTGAACAATGCATGTAATGTTAATAGAGCGGTTTTGATAAATGTTTCAGAACAACTGAACTCTAACTATACGGGGTACAGCATTAATGATTTAACATCACAGCACTAAACTGTGATGTTGAGCATTAAAGTAAAATCCTTCAGCAGGTCTGACCTGACCAAGTTGAGCATCATTGTCTCAATGCTGGCCTGACCAAGGTGCTCAGAGCTGCCCTCAGTGTGGCTGTCCAGAAGGTTCTTCATGATGGCAATAGTCTGCTCCACAAATAATGTATTTGTGTCATTTATGGGAACCTAAAGGGACACATGGAAGTTAGACATGATTGCAAATCTACAGCTGAATAGAGCACTCAATATTATTAAACAAGCATAAATCACAACATTCATTAAAGAGATAGTTAAGAGAACCTTAATGTAAAGTGTTTCCTAACATAATGTACCACATTATTTAACATTAACAAACCATAAACCTCAATATTAATAAACCAGTACTAATAAGCTTGCTATTCAGCCTCCATTAACAAACTCAAATATGTTATATTAAGTCATATTAAGTATTTTTTCATTTTGGTCAATGTGGGCTTAAACTTCCTCATTAAATGGTATGGATATAGATTATTTGGCTTATTTGGTTTATGTTTAAAAAAAATGTATAACTAACGACTAAGTAACTAGCAATTAAGTATTAGTTACTTTGTTAATATGGTGCATTACTGCTGAAGGTAATGGTTTGTTCATGTTAATTACTGTGTTAACTAACGTCAGTTAAGAGACCTTTAATATAAAGCATTAACAAGAATTATTTTGTAAAATCGTACACGCTGCATTGAAAGAAAAGCCAACCCAGCCACCTTGTGGTCAAAACCAGTAATGCATCTTTGATAAACTTAGGAAGTTGAAGCCAATTTAGCTTGCCTTTATCATGCTTAAAAACACTATCTGTTTAACTGTTTAACAGTTTAGCTGTTGCTTATGAATAGGCTTCCTTTGCTAATTACTTGACTTAATTAATACTTTAACTTTGGATGTTTGGAACAAAGATCTAAGAAAATAAAGTAAAAAAATATATATCCTTTAATTTTAATTTTACTTTAACTTTGGATGTTTGGAACAAAGATCTAAGAAAATAAAGTAAATAAAAAAATTATATAAAAAAATTATTATAAAATAAAAATTAAAAATTATTTTTAAAAAATTATATAAGAAAAACTATATTCATTACAACGGTGTCAACACCAAATAATGCTGATTTCACCTTTTAATGCCAAGTGTGACAGTGTGACTCACCGGCCCCTGGGTGTCAAAGAAACGTCCAATGCTGTTGCGCAGTTTGGTGAACAGCATGGAGTAGAGGGCCGGACTCAGCTCCAGTCCCAGCAGATCTTTAACATTGGTGCGGATGTGCAAGCCCACCTTCTCATGTGTACACACCATGAGGGACAGCAGCCTTTCCAGGAACCTGCTGAGGGGAGTCTCACTGTTCACTTCACACGAGCCCATGGAGATCATGGAGCCCTTGCGCTCACTCATTGGCCCCATGGGTGGGCTGTAGGTACCAAGGCTGGGAGTACTGCGCTGCTGCAGACACACTCCACCCAGAGCACACAGGAAGCCTGTCATGTTGATCCACTCCTAATAAGTGTGAGAGGCCTTGTGTTAGAGATGGGTGTAAGCAAGAAAAACTAAAACTGGTCTTGTGTCAAGAAAAAGTAATTAAGATTCAGACAAAAGCAAACTTTGGGAACAAAGCTGAATTATTGCATCACTCACCTGGCCATCTTCAACTTTGTTCTTTGGATGGTTTAGTATTTGTTTTGTTGCTTGTTCCCATTTAGCATGTGTGTCCTCCCATGCCTGAGGTTAATAAGCACAGAAGTTATAAAACAAAACCGTCAAAAGCTAAAGTGACTCTTGAGAAATCAAAACAAATGTACTCTTCACCTCTATGTTGCCAGCAGTAGGATGCTCTATCCTCCTTAACAG